TTAACTGTGCATATCTCTTCACTATAATGCTCATGAAGTCAAATGCTAATAATTTGGGGTTATTATGTCAGATATCAGAAAACAATGTCATGAAGTTAAACCACTCGAGCCTTCAACTTTTAAGGACAGCAGAGAAGATTTTTAGGAGATCTAAAAGTTTGTCTATAAGTTAATTAAAATAAATAGTTTCATAGCTGTTGGTTTAAAATAGGAATAACATTATTTTAGAACATTTCCTTCCACTATAATGTTATTTTCAATATGGGTACCAGATTTCCTCAATTCTCTGCTTGAACAAGTGGTGTTAGCAGTACTCAAGCCTGTAAAAGAAAAGAACATGGGATTTTTTTTTAATGAAATGGAACCTTGGAAGCTTTATGGTGCCAGTAATATTAATGAAATTGGAAGGGAAACCTGAGTCTACAGCTGTTTTCTCAGGCAATTAAGGTCCTAACACTTTCAAATGTGTTTGCAACTGAAGGGACAGCCTTCTTTGACATAAATTTTTGTCATTGAAAATCCGTCCCCCTTCCAGAAAACCAGTACTGAGATGCAAGCCCTTAATTCTTTGTCCCACAGTCTCTGTAATCCAGCTACTATTTCATGGTAGTTTACTCTAGAAATTGGTACTGAATCTAGAATTCACTATTATCTGACCAGTATTCTGAGAGTGTCTACTGTTTCTGAGACAATGGACAAATCAGTTTTAATAATAATTAAAAAGAGGCAAATAAAGAATAATAAGCAGTATGCTCCTTTAGAAATTTATAATTTAAAGAGGAAAAAATAGTCTTTTTTATAGTTGAGGACTTGAGAGTCATAATAAGCCAATAAAATATATCAGTTTTGTCATAGAATTATATTTCTGCTCTTTGCTACATCCTTTGCATTCTCTTTGTTTTGTTTGTTGTTTCGTTTACCCCTTATTGTGGTCTTTAAGTGCTCTTTGTGTATTCAGTGCATGGTCAGAACGTCATAAGAATAAAATTAGCACCTGTTTAATTTATCTCCTTCAGCTTATCTCCTCAGAGCTAAATCCAGGGCAAGATTTCTTTTAATCTCCAAGAAAATTTTGTTATTTAAATGATTTTCTACTAACTTTCATTTCTATTTCATGACATAATCCAGCTGAGTGAATTTTGGCCCTATTCATTTTGCTATCACCAATACAGAATTAGTTTTTCATGTTAATTTTCCAGTAGCTTTGATTCTTATACTGTTTATCAGAACCCAGAAACAGGCAACTAGTTTGTTGAAGGAAAAAGAACCTGTTTTAGAGCAAGAAGAAAAATCAGGTGTCCTTACTTAACCCTCTCTGTCTTTGTGTGGAAGATCTGTTCACACTGCTATTGAAAAAAACACTGTTCTATTAAAAACAAACAAACAAGCAAACAGAGAAATAAACAAAAACACACACACAAAAAGCCAACAACAATACTCCCCAAAATAATAAATTATTATTCTGAGTTTACATTTATGACCTATTTTTTGTAGTTCATAAAAATAGATAAATATTCTCTATATTATTCATCATTATTACATTAAGAATATGAATCACTAGAATAAATAGCTTTAAATTTATACTGTTTTTCACATTTCTCAGCTGTGCTTCAGTACCCTCATTCGGAGTGAGTGTCTTAAAAGAATGAAAGGAAATAATTTGATACCTGATGTGAGCTCTTGAGTTCAATAGTCTATTGTTTATTAAAAAGGGATGAATGGTCTTACTTAGATATTCAAGGTAGCTAAACACTTGAGGCTCAATTAAAGCTCATGAAGTTGTGCATTCTGAGGACAGAAAAGCTCCCTTCCCCCACTTGTAATTGGAAGTAAATATGGGGCGCTGAGAACAACAGCAATGGGATGAAGAGGAGGTTAAAATAACAGAGTTGACTTAATTTCAGAAGCTTGAAGAAATAGTGAATAAATTAATCTGTTAAAATTAATTACAAGTTGACAGGTGCTCAGCACAGGTAATTAATTCAGTGAATTTTAATAAACTAGAATTGGAAATAAATAAGAAACTCTGAAAGCAAGGGGGAAGATATGTACCACTATCTCTTGGTGCAGGCAGATTGACACACTGTGGCTTTCTGCAAGTGATGGGCCACAAGGTTTATGGTGATGTTTCTGTACATGCAGCGAGGTGAGGGGAGGTGGTGGTCCCTTGGCAAGGAAAAAGAGGAGTGGGAGAAGGAGAGATTGTGACTAGTCCGGCACCTGGTGAGAAAATAAAAATACAAATATAGTACTTGCTAAAATTACGGCTCCCTGGCTAGAGAAACTCAATGCCCCATTTAATAACAGCCTTTGGTGAAAATGAACTTTTGTTCCTATTTGGAAATAGACTTCCTGGATACAGTGCTTTCCCACATAGGACAGCATTGTTTGTTTACTTATTTACCAAAGGGGAATAATACAGAAGTAGCTAAAAGCAAGATTTCCAGGAGGGTATTTGTGAACCATACTGAGCCCATAGCTATACCTGGGAGAGGGGAGTTCATTTTCCAGGACTACGTCTCTGGCTGGGGGAGGGAGGCTGAATTCACTTCAAGCACTGCCTGCACATGATTCTGTCATCACAATGCCACAGCAGTTGTTAGGTGATGTTTTAAGGTTGATTTGCATCTTTTTGATGGTATGTGATGCAGATATGTGGTTATATCATTGATACAGACTTACCATCAGTGTTCATTAAAGACCCCTGTCTGCCATTCAGAAGAGTTAGTTATAATCAGCAGTCATATATTCCAGCTAGAGCACAGATCACTTCTAATAAAATTTGATTCTGTCTTCTCATTTTGTGATCAACACGATCATTAACATTTTCATCACAGTTCTTTCTTCCACAACACCCATGTTCACATTTGTCTCAAATTATTATCATCTATCTTTCTTTCAATACAAGGGATAAATTATGAACTAAATCCTACAGTCCATGCTCAGTCAGACATACGCTAGCAAAGTTTTCACCAAAAGATCAGAATTTGTTTGTCTTTGCATTGTTTATAATGAAATAGCATATTCACTTTTTTTTTTTTTTTTTTTTTTTTTTTCAGGGTAATACTGTGATTTACCTATGCAGTTTCTCCCTAGAAGTTTCTGTACTATTCCTCAAAAGTAATCTTATTGTCAAACTCTCGTTCCAATAGAACAAGCTAGCTTTTACAAAAGCATTGATAGGAAAGAAAAATAAAGTTGCATAGTGGGAATTCATAACATATGAGCCAGATAGTAAAAGAAAGGACATTACCATATTTTCTATTATATTTATTGTGTGTTTCATGGCATAGCTTTCATTTTAAATAAGTATTTATTTTTCATATACAGAAAATATTGCTATCAGTCAGGCTTTAACAGGATAGATTTTATGAATTCAGATACTTTAGGGACATCTAAACATAAGAATTAGTGGCAAAATCTAGGATGAAATGACTAGTACATTTTCAGAATCTACTTTTTTTTTCCAGTGTACCTTCCTCGCTTTTTAAAAATAATAGTTCTCTTGCATATAATTATAAAAAAAACCCTTTCACCCAGATTTAAATAGACTATTTGACCCAGGATTAGAAAACAAGGTGTTTGTCACATCTGCAAATTCATAGTGGAAAAATCATTAAATTTTGACTCTTCAAGTGCATAACTCTTTGAAAGTTCAGAGGCTGATATCAGATAATGCTAATATCAGCTGATATCAGCTATAAACTATGTATTTGAGATAACTATTGGAATGAACCAACACAATTGATTTCAGATAAGGATCTGGGAAAATTAACACAATAGAGAATTCAAAACAAAAAGACCTGAAAGTAATTAAGAATATAAAATGAACTAAAAAACAAGCATGGTGTCATATATATCTTATTCTTCACAAATTTTTGTAGCTACCAGCCTTGATTCAACACTACATGCAAGAATCTATATGCAATTAGTAACTTGCATATATTGTCCCTAAACAGTTTGCTGAACTGGGATAATAGTAAAAAAAAAAAAAATTTACTAGCCTTTTATTACATATGTGAAAATTAGCTATTAGATGTGTATGCTGCATTAATCATAAAAATAATATCTACATTTCTCAAGTATGATCTTGCATTGTAAATATTGTTAATATTGGGGCCATTAATGGTTTTTTTTTTGCCTTGATATAATTTTGACACTTCAAATTTTGATAAGTATAACTTGTGATAAGGATGTTCTCAACTTTACTGGTGTGGTTTTGGTTCTGGGGTACAATGCACACTGCATTTTATAGCCTTCAGATGGCTTTTTAAGCAACACAGTGGAAGTTAGATCACAATTTATATGAAGATCATTAATATAAACTACAATGTCAAGTTTAATTAAGGGCTACAATGACAAAAAAAAACCAAACCACATGTGTTCAAAATACTTTTCAGATGACAAATGACTGACACCCATAAAAACAATATCCAGGGTAATTGTTAAGGCTATGATACTTAAACCTGACTGAAAACATCTCAGGAACTATATTCCTATAGGTTAACATTCTATAAGATTTAAATAAAAAATCAAATAAATCAAACAATCTATTGTCTAAATTCAGATTTACACTCAGGGTCTTTCTGCATGGAGGGAAAGAAAATTTATCTGGCAATTAGGAGCATTTGCATCCCCACATTTTCTTTATTCAGCTCTATGAGATTTTATAATCAGTAACTTTGCAACTTGCTTATGACAATGGCTTTATGATGGTCCCTGGTCAAACTAAATGTGTAGAGAAAAATCTGGTGGCATGATTTATTTTGTGTTCTTTGTCCCTGTTCAACACACTCAGTGTTTGAGAAAACAGTCAAAACCTCTTCTGCCTAATCCTCAGCAAAATCTCTCTTTCTCTCTCTTTGTGACCACCACATCATAAAGGGGGAGTTCATACTAAGTATAAAGGTCAAGATTATAGAATATGACAACTCTTTGAATTGAAAAGAGAAATGAGTGTCCCTAAGTATTCAGCATGAGCTTCTCTTTGCTCCCTGCAGGGAATCTGCACCACAACCACCGCATTTTTACACTTCTTCTTCTTAGCTTCATTCTGTTGGGTTTTGACAGAAGCGTGGCAGTCATATATGGCTGTTACTGGAAAAATTAGGACACGGCTCATAAGGAAACGTTTCCTGTGCCTTGGATGGGGTAAGTCTGTAAAAATAATTTCCTCCGAATCATTGGGATGAAACGTTTAATGTGTAGACAATGTCAAGAATATCATCATTTTCTTCAGTAAACCTGAAAGACAGTAGACAGCACATTACTAAAAAGAAAACTAGGTTAGGAGCCTTTCCATGTTATCTCAAGCTCAAACTATACTGGGGTATATTTTAGCATTCTTTTATAAATATGTTTTAACAAAATTTTAGATTTTCAGAAAAGCAGTGTAATAGCAAGAAATCAAAATAAAACAAGAAAAAACATTCACTGAATATTCATGAAGCCTCTTCCTAGTTCACTTTAAGACCTGTCAAATGTACCAGCAATTTAGCTACATCAAAGTCGTACACCGTGGGCAGAAAACAGTGTTCTCCCTACCAGTGCTTCAGAAAAACAAATCCTGCAATAGCACTGTGCTTCATTAAATGATTCATTCCATGTAAAATTGGCCATTTTGCATTAGCTTGCCCTGTCATTTTTTGTCCAGGCAGAACAGTAATATTTTGCTCAGCATCTAATGGTTGTTACTGTTCTGTTTTGTTGTTTTTTTTTTTTTTTTTCAGGTTTACCAGCACTAGTGGTTGCAATATCAATAGGCTTTACGAAGACAAAAGGATATGGAACAGCCCATTAGTAAGTCAATCTGAAATGATAAGTTATGTTTTTAATTAACAAGAATGTCATACGCATCAGGAATTAGATAGCGTAGTCTAAAGGCTCTACAGGTATCCATTCACACTTGGAACTGCCCTAAGAGTCACTGAGTGGTCCACACAAGAACAAAGAGAAAACCATATGCCAGCCTTGGACTGAGCTAAGTAAATCACCAGGGATCGTAGATTTCTTGTGAGTTTCTGAAGTAGCGGGTCTTGTAGAAACACTGAGGATTAGGTCCACTTAGACACCTAACTTTTAAATCCATTTACCAAAGAGAATGTTAAATGTCATTGCTAGCCTTTCCCAACCTATAAACATGTCTAAAAATACTGGCAACCTAGGTTTCTTGCTACCAATCACGTACCTCGGCTTTAATGCCCCTGAGCTGTTCGGAGGCAAAGCCCTGCAGAAATCTCAAAATAGCTTCCCCATCCATCCCCTCTCTCCTGGAGTGCCTGATCTAGCCCATTTCCTGGACTGGGCCGTACTTGAGAGAGAGCGAGGAGGAGATATGTGGACTTCATTTAAATTTTATGAATACAGTTCCTGTTTAGCGACCTGACTGGTTCCAGTGGGTATTTAGCACCCTGGAAAACTCACTCCACAGCGAGGCTGCCCTTCAGTTGTCTCCTGCTGAAGAAGGAGCTTGGGCTGAGTGTCCCTTCTGCCAGCAGAGCGTTCCAACCACCGAGATGTTATGCATGCAAGAGTGCATTTCCTTTGGTTGTCCTGTTTGGAGCTCTCGTTACATTGCCTAAGAAATTAAGTATGCATCTGGACAGAACGAGGGGAAATATGACTCTGTAGCCTGGTAAAGAACACATTCATCAGAGATGTAGATGAGTTAGGTTAAGTCCTCGCTTCAATGAATATTTAATTATTCTCAGCATCATTAACCCCTGCCCTGTGTGCCCCATCATCTTAGCACATGGTAGGGGAGACTTCAAGCCCTCATTCCAGCTCTGGGTGGGTAAGGATTCAAAAACAGATCTCCTCCTGAATACCATCTGTAAACACTGACGTCTTTAGTTTTAAAATGTGACAACGTGCATCTTGCATTTTTTTTAATGGGGAATGGCTTACCTAACTGAAGTGCTCAACTTGCACTTATAGCTGGCAATCATTAGTGAAACAAGGGTCTTAGCCATCTTTTGGGAATTATATTGAGGACCTGCTCCACTGACAGTTTTTTTTTAACTAATACGTTCTCATCTTTCTGGCTTTTTTATTATTTAGTCCTTGAACCAACACTGGATAACCATTTCAGCTCTGATAATGACAAATCACAAGATGACAGTATCCAGACCCCATTGGGGAAGTAGCTATGTTCCTCACAGGAACAATCCCATTGCATTTACTCTACTGAAATTATTCATGTGTGACTACTTGCTTTAGTTAGTGTTGCTTCTTGCTTCCTTCCTGGGCTGAATGCATTTTTAAAAGAGAATATACTGAAATATTCAGACAAAGCAATAAATCATTCGTTAAGGGTAACCTGTAAAGTGAAAAAGAGTGGGTCCCTTTACATGTAACACCTCCTCTCCCAGGATCCAAATTCATCTGAGACGGTAACGTGGGACAAAAGCAGAAATGAAGGTGTATGAGGGACAAACAGAACCATAATGCAGCTTTGTCATCTTATTTGCAAATACATTTTCTTGGCATTTGGCATCAGAATTGCATAAGGAAAACAGGAAATGCAAGGAATGGAGATTCTTCCTCCATCACCAGCTGATGTGCTGTCCTACTCTAGAAGCCAGTAAAGAATTGTGTCCCATAACAGCTGTTGGGTGGTATAAAAGCAGAGCTCCTGTCCTGCTCCTCCTCGATAACTAAAGCAGTTGTGTAAGATTTTTAACTGCTTACACTATATTTGGCCTGTTTGGCTGCAATTAATTACACACATTCTGCCATCAGAAATGCGTCCTGTTGCAAACTATTTCTGGTCTGTAAGATGCTATTTTTGAAAATGACAGTTTTAAATGGAGAAAATTAAGAGTGAAAATGAAGGAATTTATTCCAGTCCCATAGTCCCAACATAAAAAGGCTGATGGAAATGGAGAAAGCCCAAGGATTTTTGAAGCAGATCTTAGTTTTATATGGTATATGACTGTTGGGGGTGACTTGAACTGTTCACATTTGAATCAGTTTTGTGATCAACAGTCTCTGATTCCTATCTTTTTCTTTCAGTCCTGATTATTAGACAGTTATATTACTGTACATTTAAAACTACATATGAAAAATGTTTCACACAGACACTTGTACTGATAGAGATACAGACATGAAGGAATTTCCTAAAAACAATTAGAAAAACATAGTGACAAGGTTTTAGCTATTTCAGGATATCTGGAAAAGATTTGTGTGTCTGAAAGCTTGGTTGTTTCTTCTAACTTTTCCTGAGTCTAATAAATATTGTTACTACCTCTCTTCACATGATCAGAGCTATGAAAGCAGAACTACTACAAGTTATAGTTAATAAACCTGTGTGACTTACTCATGTTTACACACAGTGCTATATATTAATGACCAGGGCAGGTAACTTCCAGGAATTCATTATATCAGCAAAAATTAAAATTATGTCATAGTCATGCTCTCCTAAGAGAAGGAACCATTCTCCTGGAGAGCATCAAAGAACTGACAAAATGTACAGGACACAGGAACAAGTCTACAGATACTTCATCACTCAGCAGAATTTTATGACCATATAACACAGTCCCATAAAACCACCAGTGGATGCTCTTAATACTAATCAATCTATATGGCTTTCTGCTATGTGGGGATCAGGGAGAAAGAAGGCAGAACAGGAGAACAAAATAAAAACATCTATAAAGCATAGAAAAGAGCTATCAGAACAAAAAAAAAAAAAAAAAAAAAAGAAAGAAGGAAAAGTGGTAAAAAATTGACAACAGTTGCTTTATGGTATAAGAAGGCACCTGAGAATCTGTCTTCAGAAAGTCTTCAACATCAGAGACTGGGAAAAAACACATTTCAGTTTCAGGGTCATCAACTGGGAGATATTGAATACATTGCAATAGTAACATCACACATTGTTGAAAATCCAGATTGCTGAAAATTCAATTTGCATAAAGAAAAGAAGACAACCTCTGCATTTTTTTCCAGCTCTGCCTCTAAATGGAAGTCACTCTCTTGAACAGCCTTTTTACTTGAGGGCATGGGAAATGGCGAGAACAAGTCTCCCTTGGTCTTAAAAGTCTTTGTGGTAGGAAAAAAAAAAAAAAAAAAAAGCGCCTTTTTGACCCTTTTTTCAGCACAGGTAACTGAAATTATCTTTCAAATACAATACATCAACAATTTTTATGAACTGATGTTTCTACCTCCCACTAAACATCAAAATCTTAATTACATGTCTTAGTTACGCAGAATGGTCATCTTCACTAAGTTAAAAAGTTCATGCTGGTAGGGAAATGCACTGTGAATACATTCTCTCTCTCAGAACCCCATGTTCTCAGTATCTCACAATAAATAACCTAACTTTTGGAAAAATAGCAAGAAAAACTGCAGAAAATTTTGAAAGCATTTTTCTTTGACATTACAAAAATAAATGTAACATTATTGTTGTAGTTGTTTTCTGAGGTAGGATGTAGAATAGCCTGACATATATTGCCTTTTTAACAGTGAAGCAGATATGAAGTATTTGCATCAATTTATCATTCCAGAATTTAGCACACTGATGCAGTTGGGTTGATGTGGCAGATTTCACATGGTTTCATTGCAACGGAAAACACTGTTACTCTTTTCAGTTAGAATTCCAGCCCTAGCAGACCATTAATATTATGATGTGCTTCCATTTAATTTACTTGGGTTTTAAAAGTGCAAAAACAGTACTGGAAAATAAAGAAGATATGTATGTTTCTGATGTGAATGTTTCTGGATGTGAGAATCAAGTAAATTATTTGAATGCACATACTTGAGTTTTCTTATATGTAGGTGTGATCATGCAGTCAAATAAACATGCAGTTCTTTCAATGTATAATCACTGGGAAAACAGCACCGCTGCTTTTACTTCAGTGTGTGAAGCTCCTGATCTTTTGCAGATATGGAAAGCTTTACATCATGGTGTATCAAATATTTAGAATTTAATTCTGTAAGCACTCTGTGTTTGGAAATCTGATGGTTTTTAGTGAAAGCCCTGATGCATTATGACAAACTCTAGAAGATTAGTAGCTCACCAGAAAATGCAGTTTTCAGATGCTTTAAAATATACATTTAAATTGTTTGCAAAATATCCCAGAGACTACAGAACAGTTAGATCATATATGATTTTTCTTTAATGGGAACATTGTCTGTAAGACTTAATTTTAATAGCAATCACTACATGACATAAGATATGTAGAAACATGTTTTTTCTGAAGTTCTGTGTTACAGGTACTTGACCTTTCATTGCTTTAAGCATAAAAGTGTCAGACATTGTAAACTGGAAATGTTTCTGGATAGCTACCCGGCGAGTCCTGTTCAGTCAACTCATCATACATGGTTATAGGAAATTCAATAAAGATTTGCAAACTACTCTTCTATTGTGCTCTTAATGCATTTAAGACATTTCAGTATATGTATAATTCATGTCACGAGTTTTGAAACATTAACAATTGATCATGGAAACAACTTTCAACTCTAATTCATCATATCAACAAAGTAATTATTTTTTTGTATGTGCATATGAGTCTCTATATGTGGAAGTGAACATACCCCTGAAGAATCTCATGCTCTAGCAGTTATAAATGTTTTCTTGTCAATGTGTTATACTTATTTTTAATTTGTGTTAGTTCTTCTCTATTGTTCTTTCCAGCTGTTGGCTGTCTCTTGAAGGAGGGCTACTTTATGCTTTCGTTGGACCTGCAGCTGCTGTTGTCTTGGTAAACATGAATATAATTTCCAGTATTTTTATATGAAATGATGTAATATGATATTTAAATTATAAAAGCTTAACTATACCATAGCATTACATTTTGTTGTAAATACTGAGCTCAGTATTGTTTAACATAACTTCAATATTTTGAATGCATGATTCATTTAATTGTATCACTACTTTATACCAGTTTTCTCTCCATGTTTACACAGTAAGCTGTGAAAGGATAATGCACTGATTAGTGGCACAGAAAACTTGTTACAGGCATCACTGAGTTATTATCAGTAGCATCTACGCAAATGACACTGCCTTGTGAAGTTCAGTGACAGTCTTGATAGAATGCTGCTTGACAGTGTATTGCTGTGCCAGCAAAAGCAACAGAAGGAGTGGAACCAGCCAACAAGTTCTCTATGGCTACTGCTTTTTACTGGGAAATGTTACTCATTTGTGTATTAATCTTCCACATCTCTGGAAATGCATTTAGGTGTAGGATTCACCTTGCCTAATTGTAGACATTTCAATGTAGATTTCTGCATCCAAGCTAGTTATCCCAGCCATATTTCATTGTCACTGGACAAAAATATGCACTTTTAGGGCTCAAACCGTAAGTTTTTCAGGTGTCTACTTCAGCGTAAAATTAATTACATCCTACATGTGCCTTCAGCCATCAGTCATCTGCTTTGCAGTCTGTATGGATTTTTTACAATAATTTGTTTAGCATTTTTCCCTTACAGATTTTGAATCTGATTCTTCTTTCCATTCCACCTATTTTATACTAAGATAGCTCTATCAACACTGATTATTTCTGATTTTCCCTTGCAAAGGGAATCAGTCTTAGTAGTCATCAAAGATATAGCCATTTAGCTACTTAGATTTTCCTGAAATGGATGTTTACTACTCTCATAGAGTTTGTCTCATCATTGCCTGGAGGCAAGCCAGGATCCTTTTGTACAACTCACAGTCCCTGTCATGATAGAGGAGCCAAGGATGTTTACAAAAAGCCAGTCATAATTTTCACATGGAACTCTGTGTTCTCTGTGTAATTGGCAAGCTTTGTTCAGAGATGTTTGAAGTTCACAGTTGCAGTTTGCCCTACCATTAGCTAGTAGCTGTGGAAGGAGCTGTTCCATGAAGCCACTTAAGCCTAAGTGTATGAAGCAAAAGAATTATATAACATCAGCTGAAAAATGTAAATGCTGAAAATAAAGTGATGATAAGAAAAGCTGGAAAAGAGTTGGCAGTACAGACTGGCAACAATTAGGTACTTTGGCACAGGTCTTGAAAAATCTGTTTGAAAGGAAAAAAGGATTACCCTTTTCTAATGAAAAAAAAAAAAAAAGGAACATTTATTTAATAGATTCAGAACTTGATATTACCTTTTTGTAGGGCCATGTAGAGACAGGTTCATAGAGTTCAGTTCAATAATACAAATGGATAATAACAGTCATTAAGTTGTCCATTAAATGCCATTAGTATGTCCATTAAGTGCCAAAGTCTGGCTGCTGAAACACTTGAATTTTTTTTCAGGTTAGGTCTGCAACCCATGTATGTGAACATAACACCATTTACTTTCATGCAGCTAAACAAACTTACCCCAGGCATTCATCTGGCCCACAAAAAAAAAAGGAAACTTCAGTCAAACAAGGCTCAAGACTGGCATTTTGGTGAATGACATAGATAGTGACTAATCTGCAGGAAGATATGGAAAACCACAGTCTGGTTCTGAATAAGTGGGAACACCCACATGGGCCATAAATACTTAAAAAGGAACACAGTTGCAGTCATCATGTGTTCTGACTAGCTCTTTCCTGTGCACAAAACTTAAATGCAGTGGTTTTCCTGGAACAGGATATATTGTTACAATAAAAACTGAGGAAATAGTAAAGCTATATTACTCTGGTCAGCAGACATCTATACATATAACTTGATACCAGGAATAATTCAAGATTCAAAAATAAACCTGTTGCAGTGTGTGTATGTAGTACCCATTTGAGAATACAGCCTTTTGGTGTGCTCAGGGATGGTGCTACACAATTTCTGAAGGAATACTCAGAAATGTAATGAGACATTTTTGAAGGCCTGTAAGAGCCTTTCTCTGAAGTAATAGGATAAAATATTTTCTTTCAGGCACTGAAAGATCAACTTTGTTTTCTTTTTGGCAGGTCAACATGGTGATTGGCATTTTAGTATTTAATAAACTTGTGTCCAGAGATGGAATCCTAGATAAAAAGCTCAAACACAGAGCAGGGTAAGCAACAACTGGGTTATTTTAAAGTATATTAAAATTGTATCACCAATTTTCAATTACAGATATTCACCAAAAATTCTTCTGATTGTGCTTTGAACTTTTATATCAGTGTAACAGTGTGTCTAACAGATTCCATTCATCTCAAAAGCTGCCGTTGCATTATCCTGAGGGAATGCAACTAAACAAACTAAACATAATAAAACACAAGTACAACAGTGTTAAGTTAATGAGTATTAAACAAATCTGAGAGACGGTTTCACAAGATTGTCACACATGTAAATTTGTTACAGTTAGGAAAAGAGTTCTATGAATTGTGCGTACTGAAGGAACTGATTATTTTTGTCTAGCTATCAAATTTAATTACTATGATAGGAAATGTTACTCATTTGTGTAAACTGTTATAAAGTATGTTTTACAGCAATATATCCATTACTGAGGTCAATGTTATTTTGCCATTCTGACTATGTGAAGAATTTGCCTTTGTTCTTATATCCATATCTGCATAGGTATATTTTCTAAATTAGTGTAACAGAATTTCGGAGTAAACCCCCATGTTTTAAGAGCTAAAAAATAAAAACAGTAAATGGCAATTCTGTGTTATTGATTATTTACTTGCATTTACATTCAAAGTCTGTTTGTTATCATGAGAATAAAGGATTACGACAGTGGTGGTATCAGAAACCTTTTTACAATGATTTGAGTACTGCAGCAGCAAAACTGGATTCATTTCATATTGGAGAAAAATAATTCACAAGTGCATCATCACCTTCTTAATGCTATGAAAGTATATTTAAACTTTGAGTAATCATTTTTTAGCTACATGTTCTAGTATTGTCTTTTGGGCCAGCTTGTAGTTAACACCATCAATGTCTGCATTTCTAGCAATGATAAGCAATGAAATCATCATTTTAGTGTGTATTACTGCTATGGGTAAATTTATTACAGCTTCAATTTGAATTATTTTACCATTTCACTAACAGTAGCATTCCTAATAAGTTCAATTCATTGGTTATATGAGCAAATTTATGATTAATACTTCAGCTGTGGGATTTGCATTTAATATTAATTCAATTAAATCTTTCCTGTTTTCAGCTCTCTCCCCATCATTTTGACAAATATGTACCAAAAACTTTCATTCTATTTCTTCTCTTGTCCTCCTTTTTCATTAGAAAGTATTAATTCCTTAACCTTACTTTTGTCTGCATTGCTCCATCAACGTTCTTAACTGTGCAACAGTAACACTGATGAAATCCAGAATGTTCTAAAACTACCCAAATTATTTCAAGAGTAGTAATAACTTAGTAATCAACAATTAAAATTCACATCTGCTCTAATTCAAGTGATTTAAGAATCTGGAGTAGCCATGGGTTTGGCTTTGTACATTTTCTAAGGATATCTAAGCTTAGATTTTAACTCCACTTTTTTTTTTTTTTTTTTCTTTTTTTTTCTAGCTACTCAACTGTAAGATATAGAAATCTATTTGCTTATAGCATACTTTCCTGATGAAACAAACAACTTGTTTTCTAACTGTACAACTTAGTAAAGAGATATTTTATTTTAAAATGACTGTATAAAGAACTAGAAATTATTTGGTCAGAAACAATCCAGCTATTCTGGGAAAGCATATAGATACCTTAAATAGAAACAGTCTAAACTTTTGCTATAGTATGAGATGGTGATTTGGCAACAGCATTCCTTGATACTACTTGGCAGATGGTGAGTCTTGAGTCATTCTTTGGGGCATAGAAACTGGTGCAGCTTTTGACCTCTAGTAAAAAGGGGATTGTCACTCATTTCTCAAGTTTCTTTTGCCAGCCATGCTCAGGAAGGCAACTTCATTCTTTCTGGCAAACATACCTGTCAAAAGTTCAGTCAAAAGTTCAGCTGTAGAAATCTTTTATGTACAGTTTAAAGCAGTGAATGAGGCAAAATATACTAACTCCATATGCTTTTTACCACCTTAATAAGCATATGGAGAATCAACAAGTGGGAAAAAAAAAAAGGCTATGTCATCTTGATGAATCTCAATCATTTTCCTGGCATAAGGAATAGCATACATATATGCCCAGACAGAAAGATTATACTTGGTTTATATACACATCAAGTTCCATTATTATTATTATTATTATTATTATTATTATTATTATTATTATTATTATTATTATTATTATTATTATTATTATTATTATTAATAATAATAATAATATTTATTTATTTATCTATTTATCTATCTATCTATTTATTTATTTATTTATTTAATTGTTATTATTTGCAAGATCCAGAACAGATTTATAGAGGTAAAGAGAATAATGCTGTCTGGTAGTGTTGAAGTATTGCCAAAGAGAGACAGAAAGTATTTTCCCAAGTTTAGTTTAAGCTTCCTCAAGGCTTTTTTCTAGCTCATTCGGTAATGGAGATCTTTAATTGGTGTAAAGTGGTATGGATTCACTGAGTTCTTTCATACCCCAAAATCACCTTATACAAGGTCCTGGTTCTCACTGTTTTCTTATGGAAAATAACTACATTTTTATGGAAAATATACTGCACTTTTTTTTTATGGAAAGTCATCATTTGGTTTATCAAAATGGAAACCATTAGAGTTCAATGTTTTTTCAGGCAGTATGCTAATCTTGTGAATGCTGGATTTGGCAATAAAAAGGAGTTGCATTGGTTGAAATAACTGGGAAAATACTGAAGTGTACCTATTTTCACCATGTTGACCACTTTCTAGCTGGGAATAGGTAAAGCACCCTTCCTGTTGCATTTCAGTCAGCTGTGGTTATTCCTGGTTCTGACAGCAGAAAGAGAATTAATAGCAAAAGTCTTTATTTAGTCAGCTCAGGAATTTGAATGCATTCTGTATGTAAAACAAAATTTAAGTTTCAGGTTTTGCCCTTTAACTCTTCTGACAGGTGTTGAGGTACAATTTTCCATATGAAATGCTTTGAGCTTAATGCTTGTGTACTGTGTTTTATTAAAATGCAAAACAGGTCACCCTTTTTTTAGTACAAACTGATATTTATTTCATCAGATTCCATACATTTCAAGCCCTGTATTCAGACCTTTATATGGCATGAATAAAATCACTCCAGATGTTAGTGGGCCGTACAGATCTGACTATACAGTATACCCATATTGATTTGATGCTTGAATACATTTTTCAGTTTTCTTTTCCTATTAATGCTCTGTAATTGTACATACTTCATACTCCTCCTTTAAGTGTCCTACACTCTTTCTCAAGCAAGTTTGGATACAGCAGTCTTTTAACAGGTCTGAATAGAGGGATTTCACTTTGTGTGTCTATCCTAGCACGTGCTTATGTTTACTTCAGTGTACTGAGCAGTTTTGATCAATTGACATCTGGGGCCTTTTTTAGCTTATATGGAAGAAATAGTGTGCATGAAATGAAGCCCCACAGCATTAACGTTTAAAGCTAACAATAATGTAAAGTACAAAGTATAGTTTTGCAACAACATAGAGAATTCATCCTGAATAAGTCTACTTACTTTTTTCTGCATGACGTCATATTTAAAAGCTAAATTTCAGTAGCAACGTTTTTTGGTGACAATTCAATATTTTGTTCTTTTTGTGGGTGTTCTGTTTGTTTGCAGTCAGATGAGTGAGCCTCATAGCGGTTTGACGCTCAAATGTGCCAAGTGTGGAGTAGTTTCAACAACAGCTTTGTCAGCCACCACCGCCAGTAATGCCATGTTAGTCCTGATCATTTACATCTTCTTGTTACAAATCTTATACAGTGCATGTGAGACAATAGTTTGATGATGACAACTGTGTTTGCTAACACTGTATAGAGTGCTGAGCACATTTAAATACTTTTTTAACAACAAAAAAAATTCAACTGTGTTTATTAACTGAATACAGGATATTCTTTAGAACATAAAGTATGACACTGTTACATTCTTGTCTGTGATTTTCAAGTTAACTTGATAAAATGCCATCATTAAATATATTTTATTTTAATAGTGAGCTTTTAATATTTTTTTTTACAATATTACAATGCTGCTTTTATCTCTTTTTTCAATAGGGCATCCCTTTGGAGTTCCTGTGTGGTGTTGCCACTTCTAGCCCTGACTTGGATGTCTGCAGTTCTCGCCATGACAGACAAAAGATCAATATTATTTCAGATACTTTTTGCAGTATTTGATTCATTGCAAGGCTTTGTTATTGTCATGGTCCATTGTATTCTCCGAAGGGAGGTGAGGAATGGCTTCCCAGTTTTCTAAAGGCCTGTGCTCCTGTTAATCTCTCAACTGCTCTTTAATGTTATATACAGCTCGCTCTGAGGAAATATATTTCATAGAAGAAAAGTATTTTATGGTGAGATATAGAGGAACAAGTGAAAGAGAGAAGGGGAAGATCAGTTAATTCCAGGTGTAGAATATCAGTTTCAGTATAAAACTGTACCCACTAAATCAAAGGTGGCTTTTAATTAATCCCAAATTCAGTTTATTTTGAAGTGTTAGGCTTTCCCAATATTGTGAGTATAGGGAAATGCTAACATGAATGCCCCTATCCTGAGGACCAAAAGCTATAGATTTTTACAGTCTCTAAAACTGATACAAACACAAAACAATTTCTGCTTACACTGTCCCTGAAAGAGGACACAGGGAGATGAGTTGCTACATTGGTGAAGGTCTACCCTATGAGTTCTGCAAACTCAGGTACACACTTAAGGTCACATGCTTAAGTTATGGGGAGTGAGGATGAAGACAGATGAATGATTTGAGAACAAGGAAAAAGATAGTGCCATTCACATATCAGTTCCACCCACCACAGAATTCATTACCACTGAAATCTGATGTCAAAGCTACCACACAAGTGCTCTTTAATCTGCCTCTGGTGACAGCTTCTCTAACCTATCTAACCTGCTAACTAACCCTACATTTTTATTGAGATCAGAGGCTTGAGAGCAGTAACACAACAGCTTTGCTGGCAGATCTGTGGTAGGGGGATTGTCTATCAAAAATGAGCAGGCGGAGCCAGACGGGAGAGCAGTAACCTGATCCGCCAGCATATCTGTATGCTAGCCATTTATCAAATTCAGGATATTTAGCACACCAATAAACCAAATTACACTGTCTAGCATGGTTCCTTGTGATTGGCAAGAATTATTCAAAAGCACTTCAGGACTAAAAAACCAGGGAAATGTTTCGAGAAAATTTATTGTCAATGCTGAGTGAGGAATCTCACACAGTGGTTTCCCTTCCTACCATTCACACCCTTTAAACATTGAAACTCACTATATTAATGAAAAATAATTATGAATGATACAATTTATTTTAATTTTCCAGCAGTGTACCACTTTGCATGAACTTTTTATCGCTATCCCCCATGGTATGCATAAATGATTATCTTATTAAATAATTAAGTTTCCAATTTTTAAGGGAAAAAAATTATTAATACCTTGCAGAAATTAGTACCTTCCATTGTGCTCATCCATCCCACTTTATTCAAGATGATAGAGCCTATGCACTTTTGTTTTTCTTAGTTTATCAGCTTTCATAGTGGAAGGAGCATACCTCCTTTAATACCTTTTCTCTTTTATTATTTTTCCTTTTTTCTTTTTGTTCAGGATAAAAATATGTGCAGAATAAGGATAATTCTTATGACATCTATTTTATGTAGAACTATCTTGCTATCCCCTTATTTTCTACATCATTTTCTTTCCCCTCTATGATTTACATCTGTGAAAGAGGGTATTCTCATCTGTAGAACTGAAAGCCATAATTTCATATATTCTTTTAGTAAAACAGTAAGACACTGCAACTATTTTCAGTAGAAAGAATGGCAGTTCCATACTGGTTTTCCTGTCTATGAAATCTATATTTCCATTAGGATATATTAATTAGCCTGGAAAAAGCATATCACCTCCCATTTACTGTCCCAAGGAACCATTTTTATTTTAAAATACATATCTTTAGCTCGAGGTTGCAGATGAAACCTTCAAAAACAAAGCAGTATAAACATCATTATTTTTCACAGAATCATATAATCATAGAATATCTCAAGTTGGAAGGGACCTATAAGGATCATTGAGTCCAACTCCCTGCTCCTCACAGGACTACCTAAAACTAAACCATATGACTAGGAGCATCATCCAGACACTCCTTGAAATTTGGCAGGCTTGGTGCTGTTACCACTTCCCTGGGGAGCCTGTTCCAGTGACTAATCATCCTCTTAGTGAAGAAACTTTTCCTAATGTCCAATCTGAACTTCCCTTGATGCAGCTTCATTCCATTTCCTTATGTCCTTTGTGGAGATGCAGACAGGTTGCAACACATACCTGTTATCAGCCATTAATTTCATTAAAAAACAGACCAAAATCCATCAGAAATTCTGAAAACAACATAGCATAGCACTGTTTAAAATAAAATAAAAAAAAAATCAGATATTAAAGCCTGCGTCAGTGCAGTAATGCAGATGTTTATTTGGAAAAAATATTTTGACTGCTTAAGATGAAGTTGAATGGGCATCTTCCCACAATGCTCCAGCCTTTAATTCAAGACAGGTTCCCTACATGCTAGTTGCTGCAAATGCTTCATTCCCAGGGAATGCTTTGATAGTGTGGAACTTCTCATGGAAATGTCCTTGTCTGACCCAACTTAGAGGTAGGACTGTGGTGATAGAGGTGGAATTAGTCTTTTCTATAAGTAAAGTCAGTTTTCATATTGATAGAGCACCTTGAATTGAATCACCTAACTCACTGGTTCTAGTGCAAGCAGTATGCAAAAATACTTGCTGATAATGATGTTTACACAGGAATTTAGAATCTTGTTTGTGTGTAGGCAATCAGCTAGTTATGGTTTATTTTATTCACTACTCTTTTAACAAATCACATTTAGATATCCTATCTAACTGCAAAGAATCATTACTTCATTTAATTACTTAGAGTTGTTCCCACAAGCCAGTCTTGATAGTTATACCTCCTGGTCCTAATACTGAAATTCTAGAAGAAAGGCATTTGATAAAACAGCTAATCAATCTATCGACATGGTATTTTAAAAAATTATCTCATGGGAAGATTTCCTAATGAGGCCCAAGAAGCACCTATGTTTGATAAGTTCAACCCTTATCAAAAAGGGGAAGGAGTTTTTTCTACAGTCATGACAACTTAGGCAGAGGTAAATGTACAGAGACAATTTAGTCACTGATCAGTAGATTATCTCCAGTCAAGATGATGATAGTGGTGGTGGTGGAAGACAAAAAAGCTTAGGCATATTGCTGTTTGAACTCTATTTGACAGAACACATTGAATCTTTTTTAGTCCTCCAGATTTAAATGGTAAACTAGGTAAAACACTTGAGGAACAAATGAAGGTAATTTTTTTCTTTCATATGGGAAAAGAAAATTAATAGTTCTTCAAGAATATCAAAGAAATAAAAGTTGATACACTTGAAACTTTTTTTTTTTTTTAATGTGTGAAGTCTGCACTTATACAGAATAGTTTGCAGCAGCAAGTTCATACACAGAAAGTGACGTAACTCCAGTAAGATATGTTTCAGTCTGGCTCTAGAGAGTCGGACTTTCTACCTCCAGACACCCTTAGGTGAGTACAAACCGAGATAGTGGCCATCATGCAGTCTTTGCACTGCACAGGGTACCTACCCAGCTGAAAGAATGGTCTGTTACTTTATGCTGTCTGCAAAAGTATTTTGTTCTGCCAGTGCCTGTCAGGGAAACCCTGCCAAGATATTTGTCACTCTTGATGACAGCTACAAAGCTATCTCAGTTATAGCCTATAGGATTGATCTAATATTTATAGCATGCCAGCACAGGCAAAACAATAATTCTAACTGTCAAAAAAAAGTATGGGGTGGAATATATAACCGTAAAATTCAAACAAAGAAGAAGACAGCCCTGCTCTACTATGCCTTTATTGTTGTTACATTACAAAAAGACACAGACTTTTACAATTAGATATATATAAAACCTGTGTTTTTCTTCTTAGTTATATTGATATAAACATAAATGATGGAAACATTTTTTACTTGATCTAGTATGCTGTATCAATGATCTTGTGTGACAAGGGATGCATAAGGAAGCCAGAGAGGTTCACTAAGACATGCAACTAGAAATGATGTGTTGTGTCTGTTTCTGCCCTCCATCAATGCCATTTGGAAAGACATTAAATCTTTCTATACTTCTGTTTCCTAACTTCTAAGATAAATATACTACTTCTTAAGCATGAGATATTTTATAGACCATTTGGAAATTAGGAAAGAAAAATGCAAAGTAAGAGTTAGGTATTATTGCTTTATGTTCTCTTCTTAGTCCAGAGAGCCTAGTTTTGTTTTGTTTTGTTTTGTTTTTTTTTTCCTTCTTGCTCTTTAAATACCTAATTGGGCCTTGAAATATGATTAGGCATGTGTCAGAACAGACCATGATAGGAGAGGCTGGTGCTGAAGCTTCTCCATCAGAGCAAAACAGTTTTCCTGACCTGCTTGAACAAGAGATTGTCTAAAGCTAATTTAAATCACACTGAGTAACTCCTGTTAATGATGGTGATGGGAGGAACCCACATGTGTTTTCTCCTTCTGCTGTGCTCTGCTGACTAGAGAGCATTTGGATTAAATGCATCGTTGGCATCTAAAGCCCACATTTCTGTATTGCAGGAGAAAAATAAAGAGAGCATGAGTAGGGAGAGGGTAAGTTACAAAAGCTCGGAGTTGGTTACTGTTGCTAAGGAAACCACTTCCCTGGTATCCGCACGTTCATCGCATCTGTGTTTCCTGCTCTGCCTGGCTCTTAGAAAATCTTGTAGTTTGATGTTGGGGGGGGACAAGATTGTGTTTTAAAGTAAAATGTATAGACAGCACAGTTTTTACATACTCAAACAACAAGTTTGAGAAAGCAGTTTAGAAAAACAAGCTGGTATTTAGAAAGTTCAACCTTTTTGTTTCTGACTTGTGTGAGGACACCTAGAAATTGCAACATATGTCGATATGTTGGATACAGCTACATTTGACATTCTGTTAACATGTTCAAATCATATGCTGCTTGCACTTCAGAAACATTGTAAGAAACATCAAGATTCACTGTTTTAATATAGAAGGTAGTGAAAGTAGGACATGAGATTCTTGAGATCTCTGAATCTATCTGAACTGGGAAAGCTTCATGAACAGAGTCCCAAAAATGAGGCCCATAGAGTGAGAGGTCACGTAGTGTGTTCCGAAGTAATAATGCTTTATGTTGAAGTGTCATGAGGCTTGAAATGAGATTCAGCCCATCTTGGGATACTCTGTAAGGAAGGATTTTTTTTTTATTTTTTTTTTTTTTGTCAAATCACTATGCCAGTGGTTATCCAAGAGCACAAAATCCTGAAGTGTGACCTTACTTCAACATTGATAAAGTGAGAGAAGTCTTGAATTAAATTTGCAACAACTGGGAGATGCCAGATTAAATTAATGTCAAACACATGGAAAACTACAGGAAGTGTAATGCTTAAAATCAAAATCTGAGTCACGATACAGGTCAAGCACACTTTACATTACCCTACCACAACTGGGAAATCTCAGTGTTTTGAAATCAATCCAAACCTTCCCACCTTGCTTTGTTCTTCTTTCTGCTTTGTATTAGTCTTCCTCCACCTGCAGCAGTCACTTACCAAGACTGCAGAGCACTCTTACTCATTTAAGGGTTGAGCACTTTAAAATAATGCTTCCTAATTACAAAAATAAATAACTTTTTCTACTTTATTTTCCTTTTTGTGAAAGCTCTTATACTGCTTGCAGTAGAATATGATGTATTGAAAGGGGATGCCTTTTCATCAGCAACAATTAATGAATTATCCTTTTCTGATCACAAAATGTCCATGAGTAGAATATGATTTTCTCCCTTTTAATTATTCTGAATAAGACATTAAGTAATTTCTATGGATAATAAATGGAATGTAGATTTTTGTAGGCATTTCATTAAGAGTATTTTCATATTCAAACAGAAAATTTTACTAGTTTATTTTGGTTGGATGTTACCCAACTGAGTTCACGTTTTCCAAGTCACATCTTGTAATCAGGTTACAAATATGGATACTCGCATTTATGGAACAAAAATTCACCTTTTAAAACTTAGATTATATTGCTATATTAGTACACATTTGAGGATACATATAGAAGTGAAACAAATTAGGTTTTGCATTCAACTAAATAGTCTCTGTATACTTTCAAAGTATAGTTAAAAATATCCTTTTCAATTCAAAAGTTGCCTTGATGTCCATATTATGGTATGTGTGAGAAAGCAGCAGAATTTATTTCTATTCTACTGTCAGCAAACAGGAACCTCATTTTTCTTTTGAATGTGCCTCTCTGTTGAACCACATCTTTCTGACATAAGTGTTGCATAGGAACATTTCTTTAGACATGCATTCTCCCCAAAATCAAAGTAAAAGAAAAAGCCTTTCTTATGAAAATTCCTCAAATATACTTGTGTTTTAGGGACAAGTCTTCAAATTTACTTTATAGATTATATTAGTAAATAGTAATTTCTGAGAAGTTCTCTTTTTTTTTGGTTTTGTTTCAAGAAACCAGACTCTTTGCAAACAGTCCTTCTTATGCTCACACTGAAGATATTTACCTGGTCTGAAGAATTTTAGTCCTAGAAGAGATGCATGAGATTCCCTATACATGGAGTTAGAGTTTATGATTAGAATCAGGATTCAAATTGGCTTATTGTTTAAAGTATAATTAGGAGAGCACTATGTATCTGATTATAATAACTGCTAAGAACTGTCTTTCAAGAATCTTACATTTATCAAGCAGAAGATACATTTTATTTTTCAATGGCTAATAGTTTACCTATTAATCCTGCTATCAGACCTGTACCAAACCAAATGAGAAGACAAAGCCAAATACTATCACCCAATAAATATTTGGTTTGAATACAAGATCATCACTGACTACTAGTTAATTCTGTCCATAGGCAAATCTAATTCTGTGGTCTTGGTGCATTAGACTGACAGACTTCGCAGCAGCCACAAATTGTAGCAAATATATGAAACGGCAGAAATAACCATTTTTTTGTTAACTGCTTCTGATTTATTAAGTACGCTAAACAAAAGTAATGCATTGTATTCCATACAGTTTAATTTAGTATTGCATAGGAGTAGAGTACATGATGTTGCACAAGAATCAGTATAAGATATTGTTTTCACAGGTTCAAGATGCATTCAGATGTCGACTGAGAAATTGCCAGGATCCAATCAATGCAGATTCTTCAAGTTCTTTTCCTAATGGACATGCTCAAATCATGGTTAGCTTTATTTTTTTCTCTGACTCCTATCCAAAAGAAAAAACTTACAGTACAGTACATGGCAAGTATGCACAGCTGAAATATTAACACCATTTTTAAGCGTAAGTCTGTTTAGGTCATTATCTGCTTGCTTAAATCTCTTGGCAAGTTTTAAATTATTGGTGTGATCATTTAGTGGAACACAGTAAATTATCTTCCACCAGTGTTCTTTATGACAAAAGATTCTTGCACAAGAAAATGAGGAAGTAATCTAATAATATATCGTGACTTTTCCTACTGTTGGTGTAAAGAGTACTGACACATTTGAGAGTCTTCCCTTCATGAAGCATTGAAAAATGTTTCTCTCAAACTAATTCAGACAAGGAGAAAGTGCTAGAGATTCTAGAGGGGGATTCTACTGAGTGGCTTGAATTACTGAGGTAGTGAATGGGTTAGTATGACAAATTGGATTTACTGTTAAGTAGTTAATAAGAAAAAATATTGGTCCCTTCACTTTCAATGACAGTTTGTCATTGACTATAATGGGGACAGGATCAGGCCCTAAGAAAATGCAAGAATCATCAAGCAGATGCCCTTCAAAAAATGATGAATTAAAAAATAATCTAATGTTTGCACTTCACAAGCAAGAAGGAGATCAGTTTGATTAAACATTTTTCATGTAATATACTTTTTATGGAAATAAAAACATAATTTAACATAACTTGAATTCTGTAGCAAGATAAATAGTTTTGATTAACTGGGAAAAATGTGCTTGGATTTTCAACTCTTAAAATCCATTCTTAGCCCTTACAATTCCTTTTTGCCCAATAAAATAAGTAATAGCTGTTTTCAGGGAGTACAAACTTTACATGATTACATTAGTATCAAGGATGGACAGAATGTTACATAACAAATAATCACATTATAACAAATTAATGAAGTTTCAGACAGGATGGACTAATTGGATTACACTTATTCACAGTAATTTGTATTGCAGGCTATTTTCCATACTTCTGTTTATAAAATTACTATGATAAACTTCCTTAAAGATGATCCTTCCATGACATGTAGAAGTTACTCTTCCATAGACATAAAAAAACTATACACTGTATCATTTTATTAAAATTATATACTTTACTTCCACCTATTTTATTTTATTTTTTCTGGTCAGGCAGCATACTTTGAAAACCACCCAGTTATACTTTAGGAAAATTTGTAAAGCTCTGCTGTTATAAAACAATACACTTCACCTTCTCAGCAACAAGAAACCACTTTTAAGAGACTATGACTCTGTAAGTAGGATATTTTGGAAGTGCTAGTTGGCAAAAAGATATTGTGGTTTAGTTTTCTGTTAATAATGGTTGTCCTGTTTCATTGTTTCTTGTTACAGACTGATTTTGAAAAGGACGTGGACATTGCTTGTCGGTCAGGTAAGAACATTGACAGAGCATTTAGCCAACAAAAAGAAGTCTTGTACTAGTTCCTTGTGAAGTGAAAACCAGAAAATTGTTTACAATACAAATTTATCAATGTAAACAAAAAATGATGCCACTGTACAAATACATTTATTTAATTTTCCTACAAAAGCGTTTCACTAGAATTCAGCAGTTGGGAAGCAGCCAAAGGTATGATTGCCTATTAGAAAGCAAATGGTTTTGCAGAAAAGATCAGTCTTACACAAAAAAACTTCCTTGCCCTGGTACACAAGCATATGTGAAACAGTTATTTTGTTACAAAAAAAAAAAAAAAAAAATAGCATAGTGTATCTTTAAAGCTAGGTATATGAAGGATGCATAAATTAGTGTAGTTTTAAAGAGAGTCAATTTTTTAGGGCTCTAAGTGAAATCAACAGTAATTTAAGCAACATGGAATCAGGAAAATGAAATTTGATTCCACTTCATTGGAACAAGTTGGGTTTTTTAAGACATTTCAGTAATGTGATCTTTAATGAGTCAGCTATGTCTATTTCTGCAAATTAAAAATAACGTATTTTAAGCAATTTATTTGCCAATCTTGCTTAAATAAAGCACATTGTAAAATAAATGACCCTTTAAACCTTATAGAAATTTTTAAATATAGGAGATATTCCCAAAGAACAGCTTTACCTAGGGAGGGAGTCCTGCCTAGATACCCTTTGTTTTCAACAAAGAGAGAAAGAGAGAGAGGGTGTCCTCTGCACAGGGTGAGTAAGGGCAGAAGCCTGACTCAGCTGTTCTGCATCACCCACCTGGAGGACACTGTCTCTTCACTGGCTATATGGGGAGCTAAGAAGGCTGATCTTGTTAAGGCAAAGTTTGAGTTTCCAGTCACCCACCTTTAACAAACTGCTAATAATGCACGTGTATTTTGAGGGGAGCAGGATAGTACATTGTAACACAAATGAACGTCTGTCACCATCAAGTGCAGACAAAAGTCCAGCACGGGTCCATGTAGCTCCCACTTCTTACCTTTGCCAACATAGCTCTGTGGCATGGACATCAGGGGCATCCTTGAGGCAATGGACTTTGAATACGGTTATGAACAACTTTTACTAGATAAACATCTAAAAGCTGTTTCTTTTAATGAAAGATTTAATAAAAGGTCACTGGTTGAAATATCTTGACAAGCGTGACTGGAAACAGTGAAGCAGCCACACCAAAGCCAGGTATTTGTGCCCTGTTGTTTAGAGGCAAGTTGTTCATTTCATAATGTAAAATGAGAGGCAGTTTTGTGTGAGGTGGGAGAGTGGGCTGTCTTACGAGCTGCTTGCTATGGAACATGGCAGTGAACTGACAGGTACGGGGGGATCTGGGTCATCAGAGCCCTCAGGCTACCAAAAGGGATGCAGCTGTAACACCTAAGATACTTCAAGTTGTCTTAATATCTTAGCCCATGAGCTGGATTTTATTGTACAAACTAGCACTGGTGTGAATTAAAATATTTTCAACAGGGAAAAGAAGATCCTTGCACCCAGCTGGAATCAGCCCAGAAATTGGTTACTTTATTATTTTTTTTTCTTACTGTTTATGCTTTTTCTTTCATTAAAAATGTTGAATTACAGATTTCAATTTATTTTTTAAGATCAATAACTGTGATTGAATAGATACTTTGCTTTTGAATGCAGTTCTCCTGGAAATTTTGTATTCTATGGCAGGGTTAATAACTTCTACATGTGGAGCTTACTCCAACAAAAAATTGTTGGATGTTACTACAGGTTTGATCAGGAAGGCCTAGGCCTACACCATAAGTGGATTATGACTGTGTTATGAGACATGTTTTTATTGTTTATAACCTTTTCATATGCAGCAAAATAGAATTTCTGATGCCAATGGAATTTCTTCCCCATGCAGTCACTTTTTTGTCACTTTTATTTAAAAAAAAAATTGAACACAGAAGAGTTTAAAAAAGTCACTGTAAAGGAATATTTAGGAGCTCAGGAACACATGTTCAGAGTTATAATGTTATGGTAGGTCATTACAATGGATTGACAAAATGATTTTGCCTTACAATCTCTTTGACATTTTCCAGTAGGCTATGTGGAGTTAATAATGGCAGTACAGATGTCATAGCGTATTTTTTTGGAAAACCCTTAGAGTTCCACATGACAGGCTTTTGCTTAAGCTGTAGGTCACCTAAGATCTATGTAAGGCAGTAGGAATAAATGAAGGAGAGGTTTTAATTTATGTAAATGACTGAGGCTTAGTGAGAGATCTGTGTCAGTTCTATATGGTAGATTAACAGATATTGATTAAAAAAAAAACAAAAACAAAAAAAAAAAACACAAACAAAAAAACCCAAACAAACACAACAAACCACCGTCCCAAAACAATCATTATAGAATAAAAGTTATTAAATGGATAGGAAAAGAGTTAAGAAGATGGTAAAGGAAATGTTGCTAAATAAAGCCACAAGAAAAAGCAGTGTTAGGCAGACATGGTTTCATGCTATAAGAATTCTGTTCTCTGACCCACAGTTCTTCATAAAGACATTGGACCTTGCAGAGCAGCTACTATAACAGGAACACTTTCTAGAATTTCACTAAATGATGAAGAGGAGGAGAAGGGACCAAACCCTGAAGCAATGAGCTATTCTACCTTGCCTGGAAACATCATCTCCAAAGTCATCATCCAGCAACCAACAGGTCTCCACATGCCTATGAGTATGAGTGAACTGGCCAATCAGTGCTTGAAAAAAGACAACAGTGAGCTGCGGAGGACTGTGTATTTATGCACTGATGATAATTTGAGAGGTGCAGATATGGACATAGTCCACCCTCAAGAACGGATGATAGAAAGCGACTATATAGTCATGCCCCGGGGCTCAGTAAATACCCAGCCATCACTGAAAGATGAGAGCAAAATTAATATAGGCATGGATACACTGCCTCATGAAAGGCTGTTGCACTACAAAGTTAATCCAGAGTTCAATATGAATCCCTCTGTAATGGACCAATTTAATATCAATTTAGACCAGCATCTTCCCACCCAAGAACATATGCAGAATTTACCATTTGAGCCCCGCACAGCAGTGAAGAATTTCATTGCCTCAGAGCTGGATGATAATGCAGGATTATCAAGAAGTGAAACTGGATCTACAATATCAATGAGTTCTTTAGAGGTCAGTGGTGCATAAAAAAAATGCATGCTCTGTTGTTCTGGCTACATGATAAGACAATAAATTGTGTCTTGTCTCTAAGGGGTGAAGCTAATGTTTTAATTCAGTATAAATTATTGTCTGGGATCATACACTGCTGTTCATATTTCTCTTATTATCAGAAGTGTTTATACCTAGAAAACAAGATTAAAGTTTCAGAGCCAGTCTGCATGAAACTCCATAGTTCTGGAGATTTAGCATTCCACACAACTGCAAAGGATTTCATGACTTACCAGGTAAAGTCCACTGGAAAATGCTGTGTAACTATGAGAAGAAAAAGTTTTCCTGCAAGGTACAAATGATAATCATTGACCCTACCTGCAAGTGCATGCAGTTGAAAATATTTGCCATTTTATTGATGACAATCATATCTGTCTCAAATACGATAAGTCTGATTCTGCTCTCACCAGTGTAAATCTTGGATTCTTCCATCCAATAGTTCACCACTTACTGATTTATTTTCTATATATGTTTGCGTGTGTGTGCAGGCACTGGTACAACTGATGTGTGCAGTAGGTAAAGGTGGACTGCATGTGGAGAATCCTAGATTCCAGTCAGATTGCAAAAGTTAACTGAAAAGCCTTTAAAAGGAATTCAGTTCATTACTACAATCTGACTGTGAGATTTAAACATTATAAAAGTGAAAGCTATTTACATCATTTCTTAAGACCTAAGTGTCAAATACTGCCATTCCTATTGAGCCTTTATTTAACCAACACTGAGGTGGACATGATTTCATATTTTGGCCTCCTTAAGATTTGAAAATATACTTCACCAGCATTTCAAATGTTATGAAATGTAGCATTTGGTGGGAAAGAAAAAGACAAATGAGAAATATATGGTACTTATTCTCTGAAAGAAGATACAAATGCAGAAAAATTCTACTGTATGTGTAAACTTGAAGCCATTAGCTATTACCCTGCAATGTTTGGACCTGTCTGTGTAGGGAAGCACTAACTTTACATAATTTTTCAATTGTTAGACACAGAACTGTAGCTGATACTTCATGGAATAGGGGATACTTGGGGATATTTCTTTTAAAATAGAGTTGCAGTTGTATGTGTGTATCGACTGGAAAGTTTGGGCAGAACAGAACTTAGTTTCTTTTCAAGAGATGCCTTTACAAGCTTTGAAAGTAAAATATTTCCCTTTCTCTTTATACTGTGTGTGTACTATCAAAAGTTTTGCAAGACATAGTTTAACTGAAAAAAATAATTGAAAATGAAATGTAGGGTTTTGCAAGTAATCACATTGTATCCACTTTTTTCTTTGGTGTTGAAGTGAATATATATAATCTTGGGACAGATTTTCAAACTTATTTCTAAAAGAGTGCAAGTGTTTGCCTACTGAGTACTCAGATAGACAGGCTTTTCCAAAGCAAGTCTGCCTTGTTAAAAAAGTTACTGCCCTCATCTCAGATTCATTAGTTAATAGATTTTAGGTGGTGACAGGAATTCTCCAATTTAACACAACTCCAGAAGCAGGATAGCTAAAGTCACCTTGCAGCAGAATCATCTCCTACTTATCTATAATACCATCTTTCAGATACTTTTTGTCAAATAGAGAAACTCAAATCCAGCCTGGTTACGACTGGACACATTGGTGAGATATCAAGGGAAAGTTCATAATCCCTTGAGAAAATAGACGTAGCTGCCACCATACCATCCACTGCAGCTGAGGTCTCATTACTGTTTGTTGATGCCTCTTTCTTTCAATTTGTGATAAAGGCCATCTAGGTGACCTAAAAAAAGGAGACCTTGGTTAAGTTGTAAAAATTGGAACACTAATTGCTTCATCTTACACAGAGTTTCAATTCCTGAGGCCACTTTGGAAAATGTGCCTGAAAATCTATGAATATAATGTACTGCTCCTTTAGAGTTTGTTTTTTAAACTGTATTCGTATCATATTTTAAGCTTACCTATCAGATGGGGTATAGATACCTACCCACCATAGATAATCACCATTCTGTATATCATTTTTATGCTCAGAAGAAACTACTAAGTATGTAGTATAAAATGTAGTAAAATGTAATAAAATATGGTAGTAAATATTTAGTCTCTTCTAACTTGGTAAACATATTAGGTTTAGAAAGCTGTATTTTTGTCCAGAAACATGCATACTGTTACATTATTAACCCTAACTAAACCCAACACAATTCCATGTATTAGGAAAAAAACATGTGTTAGGTCAGATCAGAAATGAAAGGAACTTTTTAGGCTTTTACGTCTGCCTTTGTGGTTCTCAACACTACTTGATTATATAGTATTACTTCATCTTTTGATAAGGATGTGCTGCAGTGAATTGAAGACAGGAACATGAAAATAATTATACATAGAACAAAAGCAGAGTCTCAAACAGATCCAAATAGGCAGATCCAACCAGATAAAGAATGTAATTGTGATTTTATGTATGCCATGTGTAAGAAGCAAAAGTTGAGGTAAAGCCTCAAAATTCTATTGCCTAGGAACAGACCAGCTGGATTAACTTTCATTGCTGCCGTAAATGAAATAAAGAAGGGAGGGCAAGGGATTTTTTTTCAAAATATTTTTGATGTCCAGTAAATTATAATTTTAGAAGATCTCAAAACCTTTTTAGAAGATCTCAAAACCTTTCAAAAGACAAAATTTGTCAGACACTATGGAGCAGCAAAACCTGCAGCAGGACGTTCAAGATTATTCTGCCCATGTTTTTCCAGACAGGGCATGACTAGACCATCTCTAAAGAAGATCCTGAGCAGTAGGAAGCCTCTTTCTCCTATCAGCTCATACTGCTGTCCCACCCAAAGTCTAACATAAAAGAACATGGATTTCTTCTCTCTAGGGGCAGTTCCCCTTTCACTTCTCTGAAGAAACAGAGGTTAATATTCAAGGATCACCTCCTCCAAGCTCAGGAGCAATGAATCCCCACAAAGAGGAAGTCAGGCAGAAACACCAGGAGGCCTGCATGGACAAACAAGCAGCTCCTGGACAAGCTCAAACACAAAACTGAAGCCTATAGAGGGTAGAAGCAAGGACAGGTGGAAGGAATACAGAGAAATTGTCTGAGCAGATAGGGATCAGTTTAGGAAAACTAAAGCCCTGATAGAATTGAATTTGGCCAGAGACATCATGGCCAGCGAGAAAAGTTTCTGTAGTTATGCCAGTGATAAAAGCAAGACTAGGGAAAATATGGGCCCTTTCTGGAAGGAAACAGGAGACCTGGTTACCTGGGACATGGGGAAGGCTGAGGTACTCAATGACTTTTTAGCCTCAGTCTTCACCAGCAAGTGCTCCAGACACACTGCTCAAGATGCAGAAGGCAAAGGCAGGGACTGGGAGAATGAAGAACTGCCCACCATAACAGAAGATCATGTTCAAGACCATCTAAGGCACCTGAAGATTCACAAGTCCCTGGGACCTAATGAGCTGCATCCACAGGTCCTAAGGGAACTGGTGGATGAAATGACTAAGCCCCTATCCATCATATTTGAGATATAGTATCAGTCTAGTGAAGTTCCCACTAACTGGAAAAGGGGAAACATAACCCCCATTTTTAAAAACAGAAAAAAGGAATACCTGGGGAACTACAGGCTGACTAGTCTCACCTCTGTGCCCGGCAAGATAATGGAGCAGATCCTGCTGGAAACTATGCCAGGGCACATGGAAGAGGAGGTGGTGATTTGTGACAGCCAACATAGCTTCACTGAGGGCTAATCATCCCTGACAAATTTGATGACCTTCTACGATGGGATTACAGTGTTGATTGATAAGGGAAGAGCAACTGACATCACCTACCTGGACTCACACAAAGCATTTGTCCCTGTCCCGCACGACATTTTTGTCTCTAAATTGGAGAGACATGGATTTAATGGATGGGCCACTTGGTGGATAAGAAATTGTCTGGATGATCACACTCAAAGAGTTGTGGTCAATGGCTCAATGTCTAAGTGGAGGCCAGTGACGAGTGGCGTTCCTCAGGAGACGGTGTTAGGACCAGCCCTGTTTAACATCTTTGTTGGTGACATGGGCAGAGGGATCACATGCACCCTCAGTAAGTTTGCTGATGACACCAAGCTGTGTGGTGCAGTCAACATGCTGGAGGGAAGGAATGCCATCCAGAGGGACCTTGATAGGTTTGAGAGGTGGGCCCGTGTAAACCTCATGAAGTTCAACAAGGCCAAGTGAAAAGTCCTGCACATGGGTCGAGGCAATGCCAAGCACAAATACAGGGTGTGTGATGAGTGGCTTGAGAGCAGCCCTGCAGAGAAGGACTTAGGGATAATAGTGGATGGAAAACTGACTATGAGCGAGCAATGTGCGCTTGCAGCCCAGAAAGCCAACCGTATCCCAGGTTGCATCAAGAGAAGTGTGGCCAGCAGGTCGAGGGAGGTGATTCTGCCCCTCTATTCTGCTCTCATGAGACCCCACCTGCAATGCTGTGTTCAGTTCTGGTGCCCCCCAACACAAGAAGGACACAGATCTGTTGGAGCAAGTCCAGAGAGGGCCACGAAGATGATCAGAGGGAGGGAGCACTTCTCCTATGAAGACAGGCTGAGAGAGTTGTTCATCCTGGAGGAGAGAATGCTCTGGGGAAACCTTCTAGGGCCTTCCAGTACTCAAAGGGGGACTACAAGAAAGATGGGGAGGGACTCTCTATCATGGAGTATAATGAGGGAATGAGGGGTAACAGTTTTTAAACTGAAAGACCTTAGATTTAGATTAGATATTAGGAAGAAATTCTTTACTGTGAGGCTTGTGAGGCCCTGGCACAGGTTGCCCAGAGAAGCTGTGGCTGCCCCCTCCCTGGAAGGGTTCAAGGCCAGGCTGGACGGGGCTTTGAGCAACCCAGTGTAGTGGAAGGTGTCCCTGCCCATGACAGGGGGTTTGGAACTAGATGATCTTTAAGGTCCCTTCCAGTCCAAACCATTCTACAAATCTACGGTTCTATGACTGAGTCTTAGTATTCATTATGATCATTGGAGATGGATGTTTCGGAACACAACTATAGTATCAGCACAAGAACATATGTCCTGATTTTTAACTCTGCAGGGAGGGTCCATCAGTCCTACCATTAGATATCTAAATATAGGCTTTCCCCTTCTGATATGTAAAAAGAGCTTTTCACATTTGGCTCACCTTTAGAGTCAATGGAGAGAAATAGGCAATTTTAGGCCACTTTAGACATGTGCTCCAATATGAAGTAAATCACATGCCTTCAGTGCAGGTGCCTCTCTTTAGGTGCCATAGAGGAAGTCAGAATGAGTAGTTCAGACAGAAACATCAAAAATGTTGATGTCCTGAATTTAGTCAGATGAATCCTACAGTGTGTCACAAACGTTCTTCTAGTTTTTGTATCTGCATATTTTTTCCTTAAGAAAATGCTTAGTTGGGAACAATCAAATGCTTTATTATATATGGAAGAATTTAATCTTTATAAAAGATAGTCTGAGAATCCCATAATATTTACATACAAGTATTGCCCAAATAAGTATAAATTTAAGGATCTGCAGGTTCCCAATGTGCAAGTCAGTGATTTTTCATTTTATTTGGTATGTACCCAACAGTACTCATGTGATTATAGGCACAGGCAGTCATATTAGTACACCATGGAGTTTCTTAGGAGGAGTAATTGAACATCTGGCTAATCTCCTGCACATCCCTTATATGCATGGATTAAAACTGGCTTTGCTACCTTGGCATCAAAGTGGCTTGAAGTGTGTTCCTTCAGTTCAAAGTGGTTTGATTTTAATGAGGAAAGCACTCCTGACACATTCTTTTGGAATGGTTTTTGTTTTGAAAATGTACACTTGGAGTGGTGAGCTCATTAACATGAAATTACTTTGAAGTGAATTAGTGCATTCCCATTTAGATGCAAGGAAAGGTTAGGAGGTTTAAATGCAGAGGAAGAAGCTGATCTGTGCAATATATCTCCAGGATAAGTAATTAATTTTTGGGGAGGGGGGAAAAATGGAAGAGAGAGTAGATATCTGCTGCCTGACTATGCGAGGAGACTTGCATTGTTACCTTTGTGGAAGAAGGATGATGAGTTCGTTCAAGGGAACTATGTTTAGTGTAATGTGAACAGAAATCAAAAAAGAGCTGAAAGGAGGCAAAGACTTTTAACTATTGTAAGAGGAAGAGCATGCAAAGACAGGGAATGAAAGCATTTATTAAAGGGAAAAAAGAGCATCTGCTTTATAAGAACAGGAAGGAAAGGACTTCCCAAACTGTTTACCATG